CCATGCTCTATTCACTTATGCTAGTTTATTAAATGCTGTGGTTATAATCTCTATGGAATCCTCAGTTAATTGTGTTCATAGTTCCGTAATGGTGTGCAAACATTTTCTCCTGTTATGATGTTGCCAGGAAGGCCTGTTCCAGGTTTGACTATAATTGTCCACCTGACAATGGAAATGCACGTATTTTTTTACACACAGTTTTTATTACTGCAGTTCATACCTATCTTGAGGTGACACTTCATTTTCTTGCTGTGGAGTTCCATTGCCTGTAGATCTCTATCCTGACACTCTTCAAAGCTTCAGTTTAGATTATTCTTCTCCCCTATCAGCATGTTCTTAAAAAAAATCGTACTCTCATAAGATAATTATAGTATTAGAGAGTTAGTCCATCAGCAAGATGAACTTTCTTCAATATAGCATAAGAAGGAATATCAACTACTTCCTTCAGAAATACGCGAAAACTTCATTTCAACTCTGCTTCCAGTAATCTCCATTCCCATACACCCATAGGTAGCTAAACAAAGAAATCAGAAATCACGCCACTCCTAGAGTCAGATTTGCTTGTAACTTTGAGGATATGTGTGAAAGGTGTTCCTAGCAAAATGAACTTCGATTTCTGAGCATGCCAGTGTTACCTGTTTGTAAGTCTCAGTATATGTAGCTCTAATCAACCAACACACTATTCTCAAGTCAAATAAAAAGGTATTTCTTTGTGATGGCTAGAGCTTATGGATAGTCTGCTATTAAGAAGTATTGCTATAAGAACTCATCACTCTCTTGCTATTGTAACAAGTGGTTTTTATTACAGTATGGACAGCTCTCACTTTATGTTCATCAGTAAGTCTTTATAGCAGTATGAATATATCTCAATTTCTTTATGCTCTGAGGTATTTCTGTTCATTTCTCATAAATGAGCAAATAAACCATCTAACTGCCATCTCTTAATATTCATAATCTGAGAGACTTTTCTTTCTGGCTGCTTAAGCAGCTGACACAGTAGGCGTTGTCTGTGGGTGGCCAGGAACGTGTTAGATAGACAATGATTTTAAACGGAATTACAGTATAGTAGATAGCCAAGTTTGAGGTATTGGGGTTTTCCTACCCACTGCCATAGATGAAAACAGATTTGCAGCAATAGGTTTTGCTATCCTAAAAGTTGTAGACAACTGATTCTTGTCATGTTTTGGTATGCTTTGATAATAAGAAGCAAAAGTCCTGTGAAATAAGAACGAAGCACAATTGGTGGGAATTCCCATATTTCTTACATCTTTCTGTTCTGTTAAGTGCTTCCAGACATTATTAAGGAGTTGATTCTGCATATGGTTTGTTGATATCTTTGTCCATTTCTAGCTCTTACTCTG